AATTTTCAAACCACACACTCACATGTAGGATCCCAAATTACACGAGGGACATGCAAGTTTCCCTTTTCCTTTGGGACCTGCAAGTGCTTGAGTGTTTGGGTGTACCCTTATCTCTCCCTACAACCCTCTAATGGCCGTGCAAAAGCCCCCATGAGGCCACACAGCTATGCACCCCTATGTATCAGACTGCTCCAGGGGTGCTGTGAGGATACAGCTCTGACATGGGAGGAGGTCACGATGCTACAGGGACAACTCCTTGCAGAGTCAGTCCAAGCTGTTCTGCTACCAGCTATATCTTGTATTAGCTATTTTGGTAGGGTGAATATGTAAAGTGATTTAGTGTGCTTTACTTGCTGACTTGTTTCTTTTAACTAGTAAACAAGTGTCTGCACTTAGGTTTTTTGCAGGTTTAATTGTAACATTCAGTAGGGAAAAAGCTCCTTGGCTAACTCATGTTTGTGGTCTCTTCTCGTTTCTGGCTAAGAGTACAGTGTGCATGTGAGGGGAAGAATTCATGTGGGATAGAAAGAGCATGTTTCTTTTACTGTGGAGAGGGTATTCTCTAAATCATAGCTGTATTTTCAGTGCCTGAAAGAAAAGATGCTTCTTTCTGTTGCAGTTCTTTCATATGAATGCAAATAATTAATTTCTCAAAAGCTCAGTACCTGTTTTTCTTGAATGTGACTTTAATAAAAAGATATTTTCCTTCAAGTGGGTCATTTAATCTTTAGTGGGAAATTGAATGGATGTGATACAGAAAATAGTAAGGTAATGATTTTAACAGAGACCCATCAAACCAGTTATTGCCCTGAGGTGATATAAAATATGAAAATAGACTGACTGTGTAATGATTATATGTAATGTCCTCTTACTGGAACTGCTAAAGGTTCCTGTGACTTGAAATTACACTTGTATTTACCTATGGTTTTTCCTCTTTGACTCAAAAAAGCAACTATATGCATGCTTACAGCAAAGCAGGCACTCAAAAAGCCCAAAGCAGGGAAGTTTTACAAACAGGAGAAAAAAGGAAGGGGCTCTAGTGACAGTAAGAAAAAGCACTGACAGCATATGACAGACTTCAGGTGAAACACGCTGTTCCTATTTCCAGGACATACTCTACAACCAAGTCCCACAGCAAAGTCTGGTTTCACACACACATAATGCCAGACAAAGTGGGAATAAGCACAGTTAAAAGTACTGTGTCTCCTGAGCCATTAGGCCAAAGCCACCTCTTAGCTATTCAAGGGGATAGTTACAGATGCAGCTCTTGGAGTGGTGTGCTGCTGCTTATGGTGCTCCTCCATGCCCAGGGGCTGGGGGATGTGTTGAATAGGCTTGCAATAGGCATTTCTGACAGCCAAGATGCAATCACTTTGTGAAATTAAAGCTAATTTCCTCCACTGCTAAAGACAATGTACACGATCACTGCCACCAAGTGATTATATTTAAAGTCAAAGGATGCAGAGGGAATGCCAATTCTTTTGGTCTGTATTCAGTTGCAGCTGCGAGGGATTAAGGGTTGTTTAAAAATCTCTTAAATGCCTGCCAAAAGTTGCCAATCATTAGAACCAATAGGTGCTTATCATTCCTGACGTTGTTTAAGATATTGGAAATTACGCAGCCGCAGATGACCACATTCTTCACACAAAAACAGTGTTTGGGAAGTTCAGGAGAAAGGATTTGAGGTCCTTCCATTCACTTTCAGCATGTCAATTATTGAAAGCCTTTTCATCTGCATCTTCAAGCATCTCCACAGAAGCAAATAACCCAAATCATTCAGTTGCTAGACCCAGCAAGCCTGGCAAGCCTGGCAAGCCTGAGAGTTTAATCTGGAGAAACTTATAGAGGAAGTGAAGAACAGACATTAGCGTTCCTTTCCCTTCACTTCTATATATGTGTGTCTGTGTGTGTGTCTATGCGCTGGGCGACAGGGCTTCATATTTCTTCAGAACCCGTTTTCCGATATGTGTGATTTCCAAGAAGACCACCACTTTTCTTCACAAAAGTAGATTTCAGTGGTAAAAATTAAATTTCTTCTTCTCAGCAAGATGAAGTGAAAATTGTTAGTTTTGCAAAGTAGATTAGCTAAGTGAAGGTAAACAGCACTGGAGTAACTGACAATGAAATTACAGGGTCCACGTGAAGTCAAATAGCAGATTTCAGGATTCAAAAGAGTTTCCGTTTCACCCCTCTCTTTTCACTTGGTTAGTCCTTTCCATGACGAGTTGGATTTTCAGGTGAAGATGCTATTCCATTACCTTGTTAGCCAACAGGTGTATCTGTGAGAACATTTGAGGAAAATCTGTTCAATTTTCTGTGCTCTGGGAGAAGAGCGCTATTCACTCATCTCACTGGGTTTTCGGCACTTCTTGCAGCGGGCTGAAGAGAACTTCCCTCAGCATGAAAAGAAAATCATCACAGTCTCTTTCCCTCCCTACACACAGATAATTAAAAAGCTCCTAAATCTGCAGCTCGTGGTGTCTGTTGTGAGGCTGCATAAGGCGTGCATCCATGTTCAGCCTGCAGAGAATGGGCTAGATAAGGAAGTCTGAAAGACTTAAATGTCACTCACAGTCAATCAGCATCAACCAGGAATTTCAGCAGACCTAATCGACCTTTTGTGACACCACAATGAATATATGATCTGCCCAAAATAGCTGCCTCTGGGACAATTTGCATGAGAGATATGCATGCATTCACATCAAACTGAGCAGCTTCAGATGGAGAAGCTTAAAAGCTCAAGTGGTGAAACTTTTAATAACTCATTTCAGCTCCCTGCCCCCAACTTTTCCATTAATATTCCCACATTCTCTCCCCTTTAAATAGGAACATAAGTGCAGATAAATAAAACATTAGGTTGATAAAATTACTTATATTGTGGCAGCAGCTGGAGGCCCTGATAAATACCTCGTGATTCTAGGTCCTGTATGAGTGGGAAGCACAGAGACAGTGCTGGCTCCAGAGACAGAAACCTGTAGTTTCTGACAAGATGCAAGCAGTCAACAGGAGGGAGATGAGGAAAGATAGAACAGAACAGGCAATTGTATTTGCTTCAATTAGTAAACATGGAACACTTCAGGAGTTTTCACTTTATGTTCTTTATTTGTATAAGTAGACATAAGCTGTTATTTATTGTACTATATATTGCACTTGGAGGTCCTTTGAGCATGTTTGGTGTTATTAAAAATGACTTTTCAGAATTACAGTGTGGGAGCCAAAAGCTTGATACTACTTTGGACTTCTATTTGTTATTTGTCAACCCAGGAAGCTTTACAAGCACGGCTGTTCAGAAAGGCTATTAACGTAACCTTTGGACTGTGTTTTTAATTATCCTAACAGAATCTGCATAAATAAACTGGACAGTCAGTGAAAGAATTGTCAGAGTAATGGTGGGTCACATCATTGCAACAAAAGGCACAGTTGCAAGTGTTCCAGGATGGTGGGGAGCATGAAGTTAGTACTGGTCACAGAATCTGACAAACTGTGTATGTAACCCCAGATTCTGTTGGAAAACACATAGAGAAAAGGGAACATTTGACTTTTCTATGCAACTTAGTGCTCCTGGATAGAGAATTCCAGTCTTTGTGATCTCTCTTAACTATGCAAATTGCATGAGGAGTCTTCCAATATAGTCAGTGAGAAAAATGTATATAGGCTGGTGGCTGGAGTACAGGAGAAAATACTCATCCCTTTGTGTAAGAGAGGCATTTCAACAGGCAAACTAAGTGAATTTATGTATTATAATAAAAAATATGTGACAATTGCTATTCCTACTTGTCCGATATTAACTTGTAAATAAACTTGCATCAATCTTTGGCCTGCTTTCTTAAATAAAAGAAATCTATCAGTCCATTCGTACCCCAAAATTTCAGAGCCATTTTCTCTAAATGCATCTAACTTTGAAAGATATGTTTCTGCCCTTCATGCTTCGTGAAAATACATGTTCAGAAAGATCTCTTCAGGGTTGACTATAAGCAAATCTGCCATCTGAACCCTATGCAAAGAAGCATACCCTTATCCATGCCCTCCAGGGCAACAAAGGCTTCAGCCGGAGGTTTCATCTTCTAAAATTCCTGGAAATCCAGTCAGGAGACACAAAATAGTGAAAACACAGGCTTTGTTAGCACTGCTGCTCACAGGGCCAACTTAATTTTTAATATGAGGATGAAAAAAGATATTAAAAACCTGACTTTATACTCTGAAATTGGTTCTTTTCTGTGCTTTGTGAAAATTTGCATATGGTTATGCTAATCTGGGCTTCCCAGTATGGGAGCTGTATATCCTGCTTAATGGTAGCCATACTTAAGAAGGAGGCTCTGAATACGATCTACCCAGTGCTGAACTCTTTTGAAAAACTTCAAACATTGATTTTGGGAAGCTAATAAAGACTTAAAAGTCTAGCTACTGGTACTTCTTTGTGCAGATCTTTGTCCATCATGTGTCAATTGTAGTGGTACTCTGGGGCTCTGCCTGTGCTGTCAGGGTACTGTAGGTATGCACTCTGAGTGGCTTGTTGTGCACAGTCCCCTTGATGCAATTCCTACAGAACAAATTTCAGGGTTTGGCTAGAAGAAAATACAGGTGCTGTAGAGCAATATGTTTGCCTCAGGGCAGTCTGCTGCTCTTCTGCACCTTAAAAAGCAGCATCTGCAGGGACCCTGCCTCCCTGGGCTTTGACTCCTCTGCTTGGTAAATCCCTCACAGCGTGAACTCACTCAGCACTTGCGGTTGGATTTCACTTTTGACCACAGCCACTTCTGGACTGATCTCTCTGCATTAGCATGTTCCAAGCAGTGAGTAGCAGCTGAGCTAGAGGACTGTCACAAAAGACCTCTTAGGTCCTTCTTTCTCTCTGCTTCTCTCTGACCAGAGAGGCACTCATTAGTTCAAGTGATGCTGTGAAGTTTGTCACTTTAATATGTTGCCTCCTCTTTAAGTTCCAGTAAGAGAAAATGATGCTGTCACTATAAGCCTATCCATTAAAAGAGCAGTATAAGGATCACTATGGAAAAGTGAAAAAAAAAAAAAAAAACAAACCACAAAACACACCAACCAAAAAACCCACAAAAAACATTGATTCTGAAATCTCAGTAGAAAGGTGAGGCACAGAAAAAGCATTAGTGTAGGTCCATTTTCCCTTAGTTCATTGCTAATGTGTTTGAAACAACTGTTCAGGGCATAAAGCCTTTTATATGCTGGATCCCCTTTCTGTCTGCAAAGCTAATTCTCTCTCTAACTCACTACATCTAACAACAGCATTATTTTCTGCGGGGGGGGGGGGGGGAGAGGGGGGTGGCAGAACAGTAGGGGCCAGCTGATTTCTAAAGTTCCTGCTGAAACAAGCTTGGAGAGGGGACAGAAAATGTTGAGATATCTGCTACTTGCACTTCTTTTATAAATAATGAGAAAGGGAGAGAGTAAAGCCCTGCCCTTGCAATAAATCTTGAATTGTGGATGGGGGAAAAAAAAAAGAAAAGTAATAACAAAAAAGCAATATTTGCAAACACACTATATTAAAGAGAAAAAACTCAATAACTTAGTGGTAGAGGAAAGGACAAAAAAAAAAGGTAATTTTATGGAATCAAGAATAATTCACATTTTGACCTGGTGATTCTTCGACTTCCTAATATGCCAAGACTTGGTCTTTCTTGAGAACCAGTTTAGAAAGCCCCTCTTTCATGAAATATGGCCTGAAAGTGGACTGCAACAACTGGAGAAGCCACTGTATTTTATATCTTGCTCAGGTACCCAAGCCAAATGGCAGTCATACTTCTTAGAAGAAGGTTGTCCAACGTGTCTCTTTACATTCTTTTATGTACTGCTACCAGGCAATGGGGCTCTCAGTGACACAGTGCTAAGGTCCAAATACTCCAGTGGTGATCTCTCTCTCACTTATTTCTCTCCTTCTCACTTCTCTCCCTCCTGCATTTAGGAAAACAGGAGACATATCAGCTCACAAGAACACTTTCAAGATATACTTTCCCTAAAACAGAGCTTCTTCCTTAATGGAAGAAGTGCTTTAGCTGGAAGATGACTTTAACCAGAGAGCACTTTGTATTAAAAAAGATACTGAATTTCTAATATATGTTCCTGATGGAGGGAAGTTGTAACTCAGCTGACACGCAGCAGATTACAGTATGTTGTTCCAGACTGTACCAGAACAAAATTAGCTCCATTTTTCACAGTAGTGAATTGCTTTTCTACAGGTGAAGGATCTATGTCACATTGTTTTGAGAGAGTTTCATCAGATGTACTCTTCCTTATCACTGTCTCCATGGCAAAGACTCAGCTGTTCTGCAGTTACTCTGCTCAGCAGAACATGCCTTGTAGTCCTTTCTCCATCATCATCTCAGTGAAACCAACAACCTAAAACAGCAGAAGCTGAAGCAACAACTTCAAGTAGACAAAGCTAAGTTACACACTTTTTCTTCCCCTGCTCATGATTCATGTGAATGACTGTTTCTAGAAGTCAGAGAGGAAACTTAAGTAATGCAAAGGCCGAGAGAATGAATTGGAAGAGTAAAGGGAACAAAATTTAAAATTTGGAAGGAAGATAGTCGTTATTCAATGGAGCTGACTAGTTGACAACTTGTCTCTGACACATTTCATTCTCATCTGCTGCTTTAAAGAAAGATGTAAAGTGCTTTTAAGCTATTTTATGAGCACTAAGCTGACAGCACTGGAGGCCAAGGCTCTCTCTTTAACCTCTCAGTGCAGAACAGGCTGTGGCTCTGCAGCCTGTCTGTTGTGCCAAATCGTCTTTCCAAGTCCACACATGATGTTTAGGGGTGGCTTGAAAATGTAATGTTTGGCTCCTGCGGAATTTGTGTCTAGTTGGCAGCTTCTCTTTTTCCTGGCTTCTCCTGTTGCAACAGTGGCTGTTATAACCATTTGTGATGTAAGTAAACATAGAACTTCAAAACAATGAGATGTAGGGCTTTTTTTGACATTTTTTCAATTAAAAAGTCTGATCTTCAAAACTCAGCATATTGTCTTGTACATTATCTTTTCCGAATAGGAGGAGAGGCAGAAGTGCAGGTATTCTGAAGATTTTAAATGAAAACTGATTGTTTCATCTCCAACACATCCATGTGGTGAGTTGAGGTACAGTTGTTCAGGAGCCCAAGCTCTGTATTAGTTCTCTAGGCAAGGATCAGATGGACCCACTTCCCATTTTCCACGAGCATAATGCAATTGACATGACGCATCACCACTTTCTACCAAGTCAGAGATCATGATGCATGACATCATGAGATGTCATTCCTGCAGGAAACTCATTGTAAAGCTAGAACTGGGGAGCAGCAGGCACCTGAACTACAGTTTCAGTAGCATTTCATAAAGAAAACTATTCATAAAGGAAATACTTAATGTCTTGATTCATCAGAGTGCAAAGCTCTAAATCTCTACATGCTTTTGACAAAGCAAACTTGTTTGTAATCATGTCAAAATTCTTAGTGCTGTGTTTTTCACTCAGGCCTGGCAAAAGGCAGACCATGAGCTCTTTTCAATGTATTTTATGTATGCCAATAAAATCACAAAAATGCTCAAGAAATAACAAGCAGGTCAAACTGACCAAAGCAGACAGCTGATTTTTTCCTGTCCTTAAGCAAGTTGCCATTGAAAATGCTGTGAAACCATTACCACAATCAATAAAAGGCCACTTTTTTATTCCAAAATATTACCTGCAATGGAACAGACGCAAGAGACTTACTCTAGGAATACCTTTTAGGGCAATTTGCTGAAAGCTCTTTCAGCAGAGAATGGTAATTCAAAACACTTCACTTTTGGCTTTTCCATATCCTTCATGCTTTAATTCTTGACCACATGTGCATGCTCATACACATGTTCATAAACTTTCCTTAGATGTGGACATGCTTTTCTCTTGGACCTGATTGGCTTCTCAGCATGAAACTGATTAGAAATCCCAGGGATGCAAAGACTATGAGCAGAATGAGTGAGTCAGGCTTTTCCCATTGTTAAAGCACCTTCACTCTGTGTCAAGTCTTTGCTTTTAAGAAGCATTGCCCAAGCCAGGAGCACTGAAGCAGAGTTGTAATTCCCAGTGTTCCATGATTATGGAACACAAGTGGTAAATTTTATCTATCATAGACCTTAGGAAGGAATAGGGTCTTCCTCTAAAAAAAACAAAAAAAAAAATGGCAGAGCTGTCAGCTACTCCTCCATCATTTGCTCCCATGGGCACAGTGCCATTATTGATGTGACTGTGGGCAAGAGGGGACTTGGGACTCATTTTCAGAATGAGCTTGTTATTCACATGTTCAATGACAAGGCAACCTTCCATACATGCCCAGAGTATGAAATCAGTTGGGGAAATCACACTATGCTCACTTTTCCTCCTTTTCTTACTTCTGATGCAGTGAGCCTCTGGGCTGTACACTGATTTGGCATCAATGCAAGAAGTGATGAATTTACCACTTCCCCATCTATCTCATTCCAGGATGGTCCAGAGCCTGGTGGTTAGACATCTCTCAAGAAAGAAAGGTTCAATTGCAATCTCTTATTAAGTTCCTCACTCTAAGGAATCCAGTGATGTTGAAAAGGGTGTGAAAGTATTGACTGCAGAGGAACAAATGCAAACAGAGGGGCAAATTTTAGGATACACCTGTCCCCAGTATTAACTGTGACCTAAGTCGAAGTCTGAGCAATCTGGGCTTAGCTGGAATCACAGCCAGCAAAACACTTCTTCCATCTCTTTTCAAGAGTAGATTTGTTTTCCTGAATCCTTCAACATATGGGGAATGATGTTCCTTTTTTTTTTTTTTTCTTTCTTAACCCAGTACACAAGAAAAACCTTGATTAAACATTAATTTGGTGCCCTACAAATAAAGTGGAACTTTAAAAATCATGAACCTCAAAATGCAGACAGAGGCTTCAGAAATGCACAGGCAGGCAACAAGTTGGCACTGTCCAAAGGGACTCTCGTGTATCATGCCTTTGTCTGTTTGTTACCATGAACCAGTAATTAGGACTCTTGAATAAACCACACCAGAATTATGAGTCACCAGTGTAGCATGACAATTCAGGCATAGTCTCTGACAAATTCCCTTGCTCTCTGGCAACTTGAATTAAACAAGATGCAGCACTGGGGAGGCATTGTTGTTTTGTGGCTTTGTTTAAAGTGAGGTTATGCTGAGGAAAGTGGTGATAAAAAAGGCACTTCATGCAGTAAGCCTCCTTGCCTTAATGGCAGCCCTTAATTTTACTGACACAAATAAAATCTTACTAGTGTCAGCACTGTAGTCAGGTAAAAGTGAGTTCTATTCCATGTTGCCACATATATCATGAAAACACACCCTCCTCCTCCTTTTTGACCCCAGAATCATTGTTGTTAGTGATGATGTATGAAACAGAAAGACCATAACCTGATTGTGAGAAATTGCTTTGAACTTGTATTTGCTGTCAGGTGAAAGCCTTATTTTAGAGTTTTAAATGAAGCATGTTTTGTATGGAAGTCACTGAGAGGGAATAAGGAGCACTAAGAATTCATTTTACAGACTCACTTTTCAGATTGTAACCATACTTTAAAAGGGAAAATGGGCTGAATTTAAACTCTGATGAAAGGTTATGAACTGATAGTCCTGTGGAATAATGTTCTTGAGACACTGTACTCATAATTTTTGCCACAGTGGGAGTTTCTTGCTAATTACTAGTCAGTCTAAGGGCTATATTTCCCCTCCCTTCAGACTCCCACCTCATGTCAGAAGACCATCCTCAGCACCATGTAGTCCAGAAGTGGCAGTAGGCAAGGCCGAATGACTGTACATAGGCGTGTTGAACTGTCATGTGTAGTTGTAGTGCAGTGATTCCAGGTTATAACAACAGTAATCTGTGTCTCTCCCTAATGGCCATTTATGCTGACAGATGTGCTCAGTGTCAATGCAACCACATGCCTTGCTTTGACCCACAACCTGTTGCTGGTCAGCTTGAAGGTCCAACAACTGTATGCTGGGAGAAGCAGGACAATCACTGCATATTCATCTTGTCTCTTTGACCTGATTGCTTTCTGCAGAGCACAAGACAAAGGCAACTGAAATGGTGACATTTCTGAAAACCTCTGTCCACAAAGAAACTAACTCGAGACAATCAACTTGCTCAGGACTAATGCTGAAATGATTTACAGTCACTTTGCCCTCAGCTTGTTAGGTCTACTGGGGGAAAAGGAAACAAATGCAAAACTTCATAGAGTTTATAGTGAGCAGTTTCTCCAAGAAAGGTTTAGCTGTCAGTCCTCATGGATGAGTTGAAGGACATCTATATTTGTTAACTACTTGGAGATAAGCTCTGCTTGCATGAGTCATGCAGGTGACATACTCTGCATTAACAGAAAAGACAACATGCACCTAAGAATCATGAAGATGTTACTATTAGAACAAGCACAAGTCTACAGAATGAAATGTGCATCTGCATGAGAAAGGCAGCCAGGGAAATTAATTTTTAGTAGAATATGCTTTCATTGGATGTTTGGTTTGTGTTTGGTTTTGGTTTTTTTATAATAGACTTTCTATTATCTACATGTAAACCTGTAGTATTTCTTTTCTCCTTCTCTTCTTTTAACCCAAATGATCACAATGACCTTATTTCCATTGGAAATCAGACTAAAATGTGTTTATAATATAGGGCATTTCTTCTACCTTCTAACCTATTGCAATAAACCACTGCAAATCAGTGCCAGATGCCACAGTGAAAGAGAGTGATGTGAAGATAGAGACATGCCTGAAATTCCACCAGGTTCATTTGTGACTTCACTGTTCTGAATGCTGTGGCATGGTGTTCTTGCACGTGTGCTCACAGTCTTGTTAAAACCTAAAAGGGGACAGGTTCCTGAGGGAGCTATCAAAGGTGTCAGATATGTGGTTCTTCCAAGACAGGCACTCAGCAGACCATCTGGGATGTAATCCTTCTGACCCTTCAGATGTAATTTTATGTTGCTGCATAGTATTGCCCTTTTTACTTTTTTTTTTCTGCCCTGTTTTCCCCGAGGTTTAACAAATACTCTTTGTGACTTTTGGATAAGAGATGTTTCGCTTATTCTCTCCTAGTCTAAGTAAAATTTTCATGCATTTTCACATTTTGGATGCTGGTGAGGGAAAAAAAAATCACTTCTTCCTTTTTTCTCCCCATGATTTATATGGCTTGTCTCCTCTGGGTCCTAGCTGAGCATTATGCCTCTCATTTTCCACCTCTAGTTTATGACCACTGAGTCTGTCTGGCAAGTGTAAGCCTTACATTCATATATTACAGCACATAGAAGTCTCCTAGTGTTATGAATCTGCATGGGGATCTGTGGCATCCTACAGTCTTTTACAGTGTTTAATGAGCCCCTCCCAAAGATTTGCATTTTTGTCGGTTGACTGGGCATCGTGTGTGTTCTTCAGATGTGCTGCTATTCTGACCTGCTGTACAGTGCTGCCATGGACATGGATAGTTAATGTCTCCTTCATGTGTAACCCTTGTTACTGGATTCCAGGTAGTGCAGTGATTTCCCCAAAGATCAGTTCTTGCGAGACTTTGCATGTGGCTTTGGAAGATGAAAAATTTGGGCTAATCTGGAAGAACAAAGTACAGTGTTGCCTAGGGTCAGTGTAGCACCACCAGGCAAAGATCCTGCCCCAGAGGTTTGACATAGAGTGTCTGCTGCTTCTCTTGCCTTGGAGACCAAACATATTTTTCCTTCAACATCTTCGGTATCTCATGAGGCTGAATTAGACTGAAAGCACAAGTGTTCTAGGAGTTTAACACTGGGCCAAAACTTCCTGGTTTTGAATACACAGGTTGTTTTCCCCGTAAAACCACACAGGCAAAAGCTTGGTCCCATTTGTAAGCTAGAACTGAATTATCCTGGTTTTCATCAGGGAAACATGATGAACTCTCAGACAGGTGATTGTACATTAAGAGCAAAAGGCAGAACTTTTGGTTTTAGGGCAAGAGCTGTTCCAATTAGTTAGCAAGTTGTTCATAGCAAGGTCCAAGCAATTTGAGCTGAAATTACATGTTGGTCTTAATAGCTTTTAGACTTCCATTTTTATTTTACTTATGCTGCCTACTATTGCATTCAAACACCATCCCAGTTCTGCCCACTAGTTTGACTTTCTAGCAGAAAGAAGGACCAGATGGAGCCTATTTAGGAGAGTCTGCGAAGGGGAAAATAACTTCTTCGTTTTGTGGTAAGTGGAAGGAGGTTAAAATTTTTGTTAATGATATCTGTAAGGTGAAGATGTTGTCCATGGTTCATTTTTCAGAGGGGAAACTAATTTGGCTTTTATTAATTATGTTGTTAGTGGCCACAGACGGTTTCATTCTTTATCACAGTAATAGTCTAGGGGAACAGGTTTTTGCAGGAAAAGGACAGGATCGTCTGCTCATGTAGCTATTAATACAAGTATCTGTGCAATTACTTTGCTTGAGACTATCTCTGCTTGCATATATTGGGCAAATTAATCTGCTCGACTGTATTTCTGAAACATGTTAGGGCTGAAGGTTTAGAATAAATAAATCCCGTGTTTATTCAGACCCACGTTTCTAAAGCTCATTTGAGATGTTGCCGACATCACATAATTTTAAGAGTTTTAATTTGTAGAAGTTGCCCTTTTGTTCCTGTAATACATCAGCGGTGTCAAAGAAGACATGACAGTCATTACTGGTCTTTCCAAGTTTGCTCTTTTTCTTATGAAGCTGAGTCTTTTTCTTTGGCATCGGAATTCTAGTTTCACAGTCATCCTTCAGGTATTCTGCCCGACTTTGACCACTCTGGATCTTTCTCCATTTAAACTCTCCACAGCTCACGCCAATTTTTGCTGCTGCAGCATGTTCAGTGTTGCTAGTTTGATAATATTGAGTTGCATCTAATTAGACTTCTGGAAAAAAATAATCAGGCAGAATATAATTGCTCATATTGGATCTGAGGCAACATGTTAAACTATTTTTCACTTGCAAAACAGGTATTCTCAGTAACATTATATTTTTCATTGGAAATAAAAAGTCATCAGATGCTACTAAGTGAGATACACTATAGAAACAGCTTGAAGACCTGTTTTTTATACTTGCAAGTAGTGATTTTAAAAGTTCCTGAATTGAGCAAGTTTAAAAGGGTGAGAAAGATTCTTAAAAATCACAGTAAATTTTTCAGATCGGCATGCCACACTGTTGGTTGCTGTTCAAACTGGCAGGTTTTAGTTCGCAATATATTTTTACCTCTTACTCAGCTTAATGAAGAAAAAATCCTAATAATGTACATCCTTTTCTTTGTGCCATCACCCAGACTGATTCCCCTCTTTTACAAGGAAGTTTCTCATGTGTCATGTTTTGCTAATTTTCCCATTTATAAAGCTGAGCTGTGAAAAAGACAACAAAAGTCAGGAAAACACATTAAAGAATGACAGATGTACAAACAAGTGATCAAGCATCACATCATAAGCTGCTCTTACAACTATCTTCAATGGATATTTAGGGTATTTGGGAAAGAGATTTGCAGCTTAGATTAATGTTATTCAAGTGGTGGTCCAAAGTTCAAATCTGGCACTAAATAATTCATTCTGGGTCATCATCTTTGTATTCCTCTGCTGTACACTGCTGTGCCCAAGCAAAGGTGGGGCAGAGGAGTAGGTGGAGGGAGTGGAATGTCTTTTCCTTCATTCGTTTTCAGAAATAAATTTTGAATTGGCAACAGTCTCAAAACATTGCAATGAATAGATCACAGGCAATTCCAGTGCACAAATCAAGCAACTGTTGTCTGTGTTCTTGCAGGAGTCCGAGGGAGTTATAGATTTTAATAGGAATATTTCTAAGTCTTTACTGACTTGAATGCTACTTTGGATAACAATAAATGTAAAGATTTATTGCTCTATCCATCCGTAAGTACAGGTATAGACCTGTTTCTAGATTTGCCAAGAAATTCCAGTAGAGCAGAGCATAAAGGAAATGCACATTAAAACACTGCCCAGCTTGTTTGCACATCTGTGTGCTCAGAACTGCCAGAATAACCAGTTATTGCTTCTCGTAGCCACGATGATGCAAACCCAGATTCTGAGTAAAATCTGAGAGGCCCCTGCTGTGATGAGATCGTGCATTTGCTGAGGCTGCAGTTCACTTGTAGGCTGAAAAGAGCCCAGCCACACCAGGAAAATAAAGCTCAATTGACATTTTCCTGCTGGGACCATTTGCTACCCCTTAGGGCTGCTGAACTCCAGAGTTATTTCTCTCTGATCCTGTAATAGCCATCTGTTAATAGCATGTTTAGCACATTGCACTAGGAACAAGAGGGTGACAGGGTGGTAGTTGAACTGTATATATGAGGAACACAGCAGAATCATGCGCTTCCTGCTCTCCAGAGCCTGATAACAAAACAAAACAAAAATGCCATTGAGAGCTGTTGTTGCAGTGGAACAAAGCATAATAAAAGCTCTTGAAAGAGCCATCTGGACTGTGCTAAGGATGCTGCTCCATGCTAAATACACATCTTTTGGCAAGCCTGTGTTATGATCAACGTCTAGGTTTCTTTGATCTATTCCAGCAGTCTCAGGCTGGAGAGCTGCATGAGCTGATGATAACTCTTACGTCCTTGAAGGCCTGATTGCAGACCATGTTGACAGGCTCAGGCCTGGTGTGAGAGGAAAGGGAATGTTCTTTTTCACGAATTAATTTTTGCATTTTTTTGAAGGAGAAGCTGTAACGTATTCTTTTTTTTTTTTTTTTTTCTACCCACACAGTTGGGTTTGGAAATGAGGCATGGGCTTGAGGAGAGTTTTGCTAACTCCGTTGGATGACAGACTGCCTCTACTCAGCACAGCAGGGAAGGTCACACTGATTGCAGTGAAGAAGAGGTTTTACCTCTATTTGTAAAGGTCAGCAGAAAGACCAATAGCAATAGAAAATAAATCATCCTATGACTTTGTCTTTCCTTCAGTAGTGAAATCCAGTTACTCTATAATCCATGTCTGCTGAAAAGTGATGTTTTAACGTAATTGTTATTTTACTGTCTTGAAATCAATTGTCATAAGCATTTGTTGGCAGTTCCTATTCCCAACAGCCAAAATAAAATATCAAACAGTGTTCAAAGTCGTTACCCTTTGACCTTGCCCTAACTTGACCATCCTCTGTGCTTGCTGCCAAACACTCAAT